AAAGTAAAACTCACAGCAGTACAGCGGAGACTTGGTGAGTATTGGAGTAGCCGGGAAGCTAGATCAATTGCTTCAGGGGGCATTCTTTTGTGGAAAACCTGAAAGCAAGGAATTCTTTTAGCAATTTGGAGATGTACTTATACTTATTAATGAAGTAAAATAAAATTATGCATAATACCTTATGCCAAGGATGAGCTTTGATTTGTGGGAATCTAAAATCAGTATAATTTGGGTTCATACATCGAATTTCTTCTCGTGTTGGAGTCCCGAGTACCTATCAGAAAACATTTTATTAGTATAGGTAAATCTAATTGTAACTGGTCTCCTGATCCCAATAAAAATTAAAATAAATATCAAAGTTGCACCTTAATAATCTCTACAAGTTGGTCTACTGCATTTTCTCCAGGGAAAAGTGGCTGCACAAAAAATCACAACTTAGTATCTAGATACTAGACTCATGTTCTCTACATAAAAATTTGATATAGCAGACCTGCCCCAGAAGAAGCTCAGCAAGGACGCAGCCACCTGACCAAATATCAATTGATGAAGTATATTCTGTTGCACCAAATATAAGTTCTGGAGCCCGGTAGTAACGGGAGCAGATATACGCAATATTTGCTTCACCCCTGATCTGTGTAGAGGAGATACTATGTAAAATAGTGTGAACAGGAGAAATTATGTGGTTGACAAGAAGTGCTAAAGATCAGATTGTTGTTCAAGGTGGATGTTGAGAGAAAATCTCAAGAAACCCCAACCAGATGTATCATGATTCAGAACTTTTTCTTTACATAGCTTAACAAACAATGAAAAGTCCTGATCAACAGAAGCAGAAAACTTACAAGAACTTTTGCACTTCCAAAGTCACAGAGCTTGACTTGGTGGGTCAGTGGATCAACCTTTGTATAGTAAAAGAAGAATTAGTCGATCCATGCCATATACTCAGCAGAAGAAAGGTAGAGTTAAGTTGACTTACCAAAAGATTTTGAGGTTTTACATCTCTATGGCAAACCCCTGGAACATTGTGGATATAAGCCAGACCCCTAAATATCTGGCCAATATTATCAGTTTCATCAGAATTACTGAGAGAGGTATTACTGTATTAGAAGAATGACAATAAGATGGTTTCACACCTGATACATATAGAGTTTGACATAAATAAGTGGCATCCTCTGATTTGAATTACTGTAATGCTTTAAGACCTTATATAAACTTTCAGGAACATACTCCATGACTAGATTAAGGAAAAGCTCATCTCGAGCAGTTGTAGAAAAGAAGCAGTGTTTTAAAGAAATGACATTTGGGTGATCCATCAAGCGCATCAGCTGTAGCTCACGATTTTTATACCGTCTGTCCTGCAAAACCTTCTTTATGGCCACAGTTTCCCCAGTTTCTAAGCATTTTGCCTGGATGTACACGTCAGGAGATTAATTGCAACAAAGAGATGGATATGAGTTCACCAAAAAATCGTGACTCATACCTGGAAAACTATTCCGAATGATCCCGTTCCAACAACACGTTCTGCCATGTAAGTAATTGTCTGTAGAAAGCATTATAAAGAAAAAAGTGAACCTCCAAGTAGATAACAAACTCAATATCAAAGAAATTAGATTGAAGTAGATTAGTAACCAACCCTTTTGGGTTCTCCATTCTTGCCTCCAATTGTGGTTGAAATAATGTGACCAGTGACAGCTTCATTCCCTTCAACTACAGCAGCTGACATTTCCTATGATGCATACAAAGCCAGAGATCAATTTTAGATAGAAAAAAATTATCACCAGATTGTGTAACAGGCATCAATGATCAGAACTAGTTACCATTGGCAGATGTCAAGAATTTGGTAACTTGGGGAATTCAAAAGGCATAAAGACTCAGAGAGAGAGAGAGAGAGCAATTTTTTAAATGCATTATGTAGGTCAAAAAATGGCCCTTAAAAAGGCATCACATGGCACAAAACTTGCAATTGAAAAAATAGACTATATAAAGGGCATCAACTGTCACCAATCATAGGAAGCAAACTCCATAATAGATTGAGGCTCAAATTAACTAAAGTTGAAGAAAGCAGCTGAAAGCTTACAACAACTTTGACTGACCTCATCATTTTAGATAACCACAGTCCAACAAAACTGAAAGACACAGAATAACATCAATCACAAGTCACAACTTTAGGGATCTCACATGGCCTACATATTGAGCATATCAAATTGTGCTAAGCATATACATGTAACATGCTCAAAATTTGAAGACTTAGAATTCTATAGAACCAGGACTGAAGAAGACAGTATAGGAAATCAAACAAGTTTCTTGAAAAACAAGCACTAAAATAGTTAGCATCAAATGCCCAACAGCGCATAGAAATTGTCATACAGAGTAATTACAGGCCCGAAAAAGTTAGTTATGAACATAATAATACATAAAAGTCAAGACATACAACCCCCCCCCCCACCCTCCGGGGGGCTTCCCAACCCCTGCCAGCTATCTGTAGAGCACTTGTGAAATCCAGTTGAAGGACACACGTCTACGGCTTAAGAACACCTCGAAACTTGAGCTATCTATAAGATCACATCGCCGGAATATTCTCCAGCTCAACTTCCGTCAAACTCCTCCGATCTCCGTAAAAGCAACAACACTCGGAGATCGAACAAAGCCGCAGATTCCGAGCTAGATCGAACCACAATCAGCAAAATCCTAGCTCATTACAGACACGAGGGGGAGAAAATCGAAGAACATCGCTAGGCAATTTCCGCTTTCGCTAAAAAGTAGGTAAAATACGGAATAGTGCAATACCTTGTCGGTCTCCATCTCCGGCCGTTGAGCAGTGGCGGCCGCGACGTGCCTCACGGCTGCTGCTCCGCCTTGGTCATGGTGTTGTTGCTGTAAATGTTGATTGTTCGATGGATTATTGTGCTGAGGCCCCAGCGGCAACGAGGCCATGTGATGCTGCTCTCTCTCTCTCTCTCTATAGTTCCTTCTTCCTCCTCCCTCCCTCCCTCCCTCTCTCTCTCTAGTTTTCTTTTTCTCTCTCTACAATTATGTTATCTACTAGTGTGGTTTGGATTTCGGAAATCGCTAATGGTTGGTCGACTTTTTGCTGCTCAGCAATAGGGGAGGTACAACCACTAGAGCTTCGCGTCCAACACCTTCATAATCCACTTTCTTTAACGCTTTTAGCTTTTTTGACTTTCTTCTAATTATTATGATGATTTGTAATTTTCCTTTCGCCTCTTAATTAATGTACGTTTTATTCATTTTTTTTTTAAAATAATTATTATAGTCTTTTTTTGGGGGTTTCTTTAACGAATATTTTAAAAACCGTTGGCTGGTTTTCGGGCCCTTTTGTAAGGCTAGCGGACAAGTTTTCTCCCTGCTTGCAACTTGAAATTCACATGACAAATTTGTCCTTAAAGAATGCTCTAATTTTCCCCTCCAGTCGTGATCATTTTTACTCTCGATAAAAACATCAAGGGGGCTTTGGTTATTGGTTTGAATTGTAATTCAATGAAGGCCTAAATTACAGTATTTGGTTGGAGGGAATTGTAATTTTTTTTTTTTTTTTTGTTGAATTGTAATTTATGGAGTACTTCATGAATTGTAATTCAATACATGTGGGGAAGGAAAATATAGAAGAAATGACAAAAATATCTTTTGTTGATTGTTATTATTATTATTATTATTATACAAGGACATTTTAATCTTTATATCATTTTTTCCTTCTCATTTCCAATAATTCTATTACTCCATACCCAATAATGTAATTTGAATTCTTACATTATTTCTACATTATCCTTTTTCCACCGAATTGCAATTCATTTCCTTCCTAATTCCTTCCTCCCAACCAAACATCCCCTAATAGGATTGTTATTTTTATGTGTCTTTTGTATTAGATTTTGTCATAGTACTTCAATATTAATGGTTATTTTAGATCTTATTAGTAATCTAATTTTAAAGTTTGAATAAGTACTTCAAATTTTTGTTTTGATTTTTTTGTTTCTATTGTTGCTTTGGATGTCATTATATTAAGATTAATTGTCTTGATTTTTTGTTTTTGTATTTTTTAAACATTTATTCCTACTATAAGGTCATACACAACCAAACATCAATAGTGATAATCATTTCAATTCTACCCTACTACCAAATATGCAAAATACTTTAACCAAAACCTATTATTTGATTTTCTTTCCAATTCTTATTCCTATGTGCGAACCAAACACACCCAAAATTCAGTACAAAAAGTTTAGTATATATCTCACCATGTGACGCCATATTTATAGTCCCAAATACAAGCAAAGCTCAGAGATTGCTAATACGAGTGAATAAGGCGCAGATTATGCTTGTTAAAAAATAGTAAAGAAATAAATATGTTTACCTTTAGGAATCGTTTGGGTTAGATTGCTAGGAAAGTTAGATTCATATGTTTAGCTACAATTGATGTATGTAATATAAACATGTATGCTATAGAGCTTATTTCGTATATAAATACACTTAACAAAGAAAGGGGTTAACCCGGGCTAGACTACTGTTGATCGTTGATGTTTGCCCTCCGGTTCAACTACCCTCGTTGGACTCTGGCACCAACCTTGTCCCTCCCAAAGCAAGTCCTCGATACACAAAGGCGCATTCTCAAGGATCCGAGTCCCCATGTCATGGGAGAACGCAAGCATGATACATATAATAAGTTAATATAAAATATATATTTTATACAGTAATAATTAGAATTAAAATGGTAGAATTTGTAAACATCCATGATCCATGATAATTTTAGATAATATAAAAATTGTGAGAGAATCACATTTCCTTCAAAATCTTATATAAAGGGTGTGTTGCATTCCTTGAGAATGTAAGATAACATGAACCAAACATGAGAATGTAAATTTTGGAATGTCATATTCCCTTAGTTATATTGTATAATTTGAACCAAACACTCCTTAATTATTAACTTTTGTGACAGGGTTTCAAAAGAAAAAAAAAAAAAAAAAAAAAAAAACTTTGTGACATTGTGTGAATACAGACATACAGTACAATCACGCTCAGGTTAAGAGCTCAATGAAGTAGAAAAACAACATCTTGTCCTTTCTTTTCTGCCACTCTAGTGACTCTACTACTGCACCTAATTAGGACCTTCAGAGGATTTAGTCATATGGATAAAAAAAAAATTATTTTTTTCAAAAAAAGAAAAAGATAAACAGAGAGATAATGCAGCTATTCTAGATCAAAAGAAGTCTAAGTCCCTAACCATTAAAGGGAGTGAAAACATGAAACATTTTAAGTACAATGGAAGAGCCAGTGAAAATTGGCGCACAGCTGATGGGATCATTGCAGATGCATTCTAGTGTATCGGTCTGCCGCTATGGATAATGATTGTATTGAAACCTGGAATGATTGTCCCATCTGCAAAATGTTTTTAATAAAAAACATAAATTTTGAGTGTGTCATGAATGATTCACATATTGAGAGCTTGTACCAAATCCACGCAAAAATGTAAAATGCATGTAAATAAAATAAGAAAAATGCACCACAGAAGTGAAGTGAGTTTCATATCCTTGTTTTATAAAATTCTTGCCTTTCTTCTGCCCAGAGTTTGTCTTTCTCACAGCCTTTTTGCCAGAGTTAATTTATTGTTTAAATTTATATATTTTCCAACGTAAATATTTAAATTAAGCATATATATGCAACTTTTTCATTGCACCAAACTAATTGAAATAATGAGCTTACAGTGCTGCATATATGGAAGGCATTCACATAACCAGCATATTTTGAACCTGCATTATAGGAAACAGCACATTGTATCAAGATCCAGAGGAAATGAATCAAATCATGCCATCTTGAAAGAGAGCACAGAAAACCCCAATAGTCATTTCTTAAGAACAAACTAAAACTGTTGTTAGTGTCAAAGCAGACATAAATCCGACCAATCTGCTCAAATCAAGGGAATAGTCAAAGTTAGGTGAGTGGGGCTATTCAAGCTTGACTTGAGACATCAACTCAAGCTGAGAATGACCTGGTTGAAATTGAGTAGCCTGAGTCAGCTCCCACTCACAACACCAAGTGAGAAAAGTATGTTAATCTTGCCTCATGCCTAAGAACAACCAAAATTAAGGATATCAAGAAAAGAAAAAAACACAACCCAAATCACTTACTCTTTTTCAAGCCAGCAGGTTTTGCAAGCAAAAGGGCATTCACAAATGCACCGACATTTTCACAAAGAGCCTCTTCTGCAAAACTCAACTGCAAAACAATTGTTTAATGAAAGTTCCCAAATAAGATGATGCAGGACCCCATACATGAGGAAGCTTGTGTGTATCATCACTGAAAAGAGAAGTCAGTGTACCTTCCCAAGGCCCACATGCACGATAGCTGTTTTGTCTTTTTTGAACATAATACCTTGATCCCTTGCTTCCTTCACTGCATTTGAAACATCTTTTATAACAGTACCTTTCTGCACAGTTCATAAGGAAATGAGCAAGCCATAAAAAATAACTCAATTCATAGGTAAAGCGTGAGGAAGACAACTTACTTTAGTGTCTGGCATCAACTGTCTCAAATACTTTGCAATCTGCAGAATGGAAAAATAATAGCTCAAATTTGACACAAGATCAGTAACTCAGTAGTTTCTTGTTCCTCTTCTTTCCTACTCATGCTGATCTTTAACAGCACAGCATAAAGAATAAATCTTGTGATGTACAATCAAACTGAGGCTTAAATTTGTCAAACCTGTTTCAAATTTGGCATCATTGCATGAGTTGCCAAACACTTGTCAAAATCAATCTTTACACTCCCTGCATGAATTAATACGAACATGAAGAATTAGTGCAAGAAACAAATGGTTATTCAACTATAGCCCCTAATGCAATCAACAAGAAAAGAGAACAAATGTTGTATAAATAAACTCATATAGAACTATGGTTTTATGAAATGGCACCTCAATCACATATTCTTAATATAGTACTGTCAAAGTGGGCCGAAGCCCCCGGGCTGGCCAGCACCTGCCCCGCGGTGGGCGGTTAGGGTCATAAAAATAGGCCCGCGAAAATGCGGGCCAAGCCCATTTAAAAAAACCATATGTTACACAGCAAGGCACTGTGTACCATATATATATATATATATATATATATATATATATATATATATATATATATATATATCATTTTTAAAAATGTAATTTTTTAATTTTTAAACACGAAAAAATTAATATTATTTGTAGACTTTACTTATTTTTTTGAACTTTGAATTCCAAAAAAAAAAAAAAAAAACGTGGGCCCGCCAACCCGCACAGGGCGGGCTAAGGTTCCATGAACTAGCCCGCGAGCCGGCCCACAAAAGCCCGCCAGAAATTAGGCCCATGGTGGGGCAGACCGGCCCGCTTTGACAGTATTGATTCTTATTTAGATATCTGCCTCTAAATGGTAGTCATTAGTGTGAAGAGGGATCATGGATACTCTGGATATTTTCCCAGAGCAGTATTCTCAGTTTATGTGTCAAGTGAGTACACAAACATACAAAAGTCAGAATTTTATCCAAATCCTTGACATGTAGAAATGGTTACACCATTGCAGAATGAAAGAAAAATAAAGAATTACCATTTTTAATATTCTGTATAAGCTCCAAACCACCAACAATATCAGCTCCTGCCGCTCGAGCTTCATCTGCATCTGCTCCTTCAGCAAAGACAGCCACTCGAAATTTCTAAGGACAGACACTTCTTAGCAGCTAGAGATATATGGGAAGAAATCTGAGGCAGCAGAACAGAATATGTGAATTTGGAGAGTTAGAACATTGTACCTTTCCCCAACCATGAGGAAGTCGCACTGAACCATCAAGTTTCTGCAGTGAGGAAAAAAAATGAAAACCCCACTGAGGAATCACATAATTTCTTTGATATGGCGGCCTTATATCTCATAATAACACAAGTAACTTAAATATAATACTAAGGGATCAGTGAAATCTTAAGAAAACTTGAATTTACAGCAAAATGAAAAACATATAGCATTATAGTTTCTGTCAACATTACAACCTCGGTGAGGAATATGAATATGTATTACTCCATATTTATTAGCATATGAGATAACTATCATTGTACCAAACGGCCTTCATGTTTACAATATTACAGTAATACTATTAAACAATGTATTACTAGAACATAGTATCTGGTGTTTGCAAAATAAATAGGATATAGCATAGATTGTCACAAGTTTGCATATTGTTGGCAAACTCATTATGGAGGCATTAAACATTAAACATAAGTAATATTGCATTGGTTTGAGGGAAAGTGGAAGAAAGCACACACCAGGTCACTTCGACGCATTTCTGGAGTCAACTTAACATGTGCTTCCAAAGTTTCATCAAATGTCGTCCTTGCATTAGACTGTACAATTACAGGAAAGACAGAAGCATACAATAGTTAAGTCATTACTCGGTTTTAGAAGTGAACAGTTAACTAAACAAGAATTTATATTTTAAAAACTCCACGAATCTATATGAATAAAGCTCAGTGTAAATTATATAAAGTGGCCCTAAGTCTGGAATGACAGTACAGAACAAAGTTAAAAAACCACACGACTTCTATATTCAAACTGCATTACACATTACTCCATAATAACAATAGAAACATGGAATTTGTAACCTTCAAGTATACTCTGATATCACTTAACAAACTAGTACCAGTGTAAAGGTAGGTCTTCTAACTTGGTATTCATTTCACTACAAGCTTCAGTTAGTATTTAGCAAGACATGTTAACAAAAATGCAGCATCTTATCTTATGCAGAAAATAAAGACCTAGCTTTTGAGGATGCTAAAAGATATTTCGTTAAAACAAATTAATTTGTTCAATGGCATTGCCTTCAGGCCAAAATGAGCTATATTGCTATAAGCAACAACTTTGATTTACACAGTACCAATAATTTGCTAAAGCAGGCCTCAAAACCTCAAGAATAAGCATCTTTAGTTAATAGCCCTGTGACTTGTGACTATGTGACATGGCTCATTAACAATGCCTCAAACCTACTTGATCTGTGCATAAAATATTCTATTCAGTTCTTCCTTAACCATTCTGAAGCTAGAAAGTAAGCACCATGATCTTCATTGAGCTCAGAGAAACCAACCATTACCTTCTATAGTCACCAAGACAAAGTGAGTCAAGAAAACAAATACAACAACAAATTTTGAAGTCAGAGAACATCCTACAATCCGTTCTCTGCTCATATTACTTCTAAAATCCTATGACAGATCTTACTACTCCACTTCACTAAGCAATTAGAAAAAAAAATACGTCTAAATTTGCTTTGGACCTTAAAACATACAAAAGTTTGATAGTGAAACCACCAAAAAGGCTGACCTTTGCAAGACGAATGGCTTCTTTGAGATCATAAACGCTCTTCACTTTGGCCTTATCATTCTCCTCCACCTTAATCAAGGTCGGAAAAGGTACCATTTCTACCTCACCCCTGATCCTACTCATCGCCGCAAAACGCTGCTCATTCTGGATTCTTCTCGCCTCTCTCTCCAACTCCGCATCGCCCCTCTCCTTTCTCTCCTCCTGACCCTCCCCTTCTGCCATCATCCGGTCTTCAGGCAAAGGAGCCACGCGGGTCGGGTACGAAACCGTAGACATTGTAGGCATATCCTTCAGGTACCGAAGATCTTCTCGTGACCACGTCCGCGCTTCCGGGTTAATCTGGTCCTGGGCATTGGGTTCAGCCGGGCGTCTGGCATTATAGGAAGCTTCAGACTGAGAAGAATCCTTTGGCGGGGATTGAGGAGGGTCTCTGGGTTTGTATGAAACGGGTTGGACTTGGATCGGCGTTCTGGCGTTTGGCTTTGGAACAGGATTGTCGGGCGCCGATTCAGGTGAAGAAGAGAGGAACCTGTGAAAATGATTGCGGAGAAAAGGAGATAGAGAAGGTGGGATTTTGGTAGGATAGTGGCGACGCGCTTTAGAGAGAAGAAGCTCGATTGACGCCATTGCAGCTCGGAGTTCCGCTGTGGCAGCCGAGGGTCTGCTTGGGTTTTAGGAGGTACAGGGTGAGGGTTTTGCGATTCAGCCGAGTTGCCGGCGTATTTTGGAGTACCTCTTTTCTTTGGTTTTTTTATTATTTGCCCCTCGTTAATTCATCTCTTTTCAGTTCTTACATGGTCTAATGGTGCGTATAAATTTTAACAGAACACATTTTATTATACCAAAAATTTCTCAAGTTACATTAGTGAATTCATAGTCCATAGATAATCATAACTTCTTTTTTTTTTCATTTATGATATTAAAACAATCCTACTAAATTAATTTGTTATTATAGCATAACAAGTATAGTTATTGCCTAGTTGGTTCATTACGTTTAATATTTTTAATAAAAAAATACGACAATATAATTCGAATTCAAATACCTTGACTCAATATAAATGGAATGACTAACATAACATTAAAGATAATTAAGGCGTCAAGTGAAGCACATATTTATCACGTGATTATGTTACATAATTAGGATCATATTAAATTTACAACACTATTTTAAGATATAACTACAATTTGATTATTCTTGAAATTCTTGTGATTATGGATTTCAAATTTCGGTGGATAAGGAATGGTGATATTAGATGCATTTATTTGGTCAAAATGATTATAGACATCTAACTCAAGTCAAAGATTTGAATTCGATCTCTTTTATTCATTGTTTCGTCTCACTTATGACGGCTAAATATCCCGTCAAAATACCTAAATTTTATTTGGAAGTATGCCAATTGATGTCTCCTGGCCTTTTTGTATGGCTAATTCTGAGACGACCGGTCATCTCTTTTTGGAATGCAACATCACTTTCCCGTCTAGTCGGGTGTGTTTCATAATCTAATACCAGTAAACAGTTCCGGGTCTTTTCTTCGTTCAAGTTGTGGTTATTTTGAGGTTGATCTTGAAAGCTCAAAATGAGTTGGTTTGGAATGATAAGAAACTGAACTCAAACGAAATTCAAACCATTATTTTGCACCTTCTGTATAACTGGAATAATATTACCCATTATGTCGGCTTTAATAACGATCACCTACCACACTCACAACAACAACCATTGAATAGTCAACCAGATGGTGTGATATGTCAAGTAGATGCATAAGTTTTTCCAGAGATTGGGGAGGCTATAGATGCAGCCATTCTTTATGCTATCGGAAGCTTTATTGCTGCAAGACGATGGCCCCTTCGTCACCTGGATGATCTGCATACAGCTGAGGCTATAACTATCAAAGTAACTTTAGCTGGAATGAAAAAGGAGTATTGAGAGGAATGCTAGTAGGGGCGTGTATATATATATATATATATATATATATATATGTGTGTGTGTGTGTGTGTGTGTGTGTGTGTATTATTATTATATTGAGCTTTTGGCCCACTTCAATTTTCTTTTTAAATTAAGTATGTATATATTAAATGAATTAAATAAAAATAAATAAATCAAATAATCAAATTCAGTCAAATTCAAAAAAAAATTCAGTCAAATTTTCAATAATGGGGGGGCATTAAGTATCTTCATTATTACTCTCTAAATTTGAGGTATATGTTTTAGTATTATTAGTTGATTAATTAATTAATTAATTAGTAATTTATTGTGTGCTTTTATTATTTATTTACATTTTTAAGATGTAAAATTGCTAGGTTAAATTATTAATTTTGAATCGATGTCAAGTTATATAAGTGTAGGTTTTTAAAGAAAAAAAAAATTAAAGTAAAAAGGAGTTCATGAAGTATTTTTTCAAAATTATTTGTCTGACTGTGCCAGATAGAATTTTTTCGGATAGTTAAATATTTGTTTATGGTTGTTTTTTCCAGATCTGACATCTAAAATGATTTCATCGCCGAAAACTTATGGAAAGCCAATTCGGCTAATTGGTTTCTACATATTTTTTTTGCAATATCATTGAATTAAAATGTTGAAGTATACAATTTCGTTAATTTTCTTGCTCATTTTTTGGAAAATGAACCAAACACAAAAAATAAAATTTTATGTTGTACAGGCAAACACCGAAAAGAAAAATATTTTATGAAAAATGACTCATATTCCAGAAAACATTTTATTATTTTCCAAACGGAGCCTAAATTACAATTCCCCCCCTCCCCCTCCCACCCCACTAATTCCTTAATTCAAACCAAACTCCCTAAGAATATCCATAAATGATTATTAACAGTATTGGACAATATTTTTAAAAACAATGTCAATTTTTTTAAAATATTATTGACTCTATTACAATGTAATATATGTTATATATTTTCTTTATCTATTGTAGTTAATCTATTTTTCTTATATTGAATATTCGATTAATCACAAAAAAAAAAAAAAAAAAAAAGATCTAACTAATTAATGTATATAATGAGTAAGTTTTGTATAAAATCATCATAGTGAAACATATAATACTTGTTAGTTAAAATGTACTACATATGACGTATTTTGTCTCTCATGTTTACTATTTATTGGTCAAATCAAAAATTTATTTAATATTTATTCTCTTTTATAATTTTAAATTTGATTTGTTATGTTTAATAGTACTTTTAATGTAGTTACTAAATATATAAATTTTATATATTAATAATATTAAACTTAATATTATAAAAAATTAAATTAAAAATAACTTTAGTCAAAATGAGACGACAGAAGTAATGATTTTATATGCACCTATAAAAATATATTAAAATTTAATTGCACGTTTCAGTGTTTGACATTAAGATGATTTCACAAAAAAACGATTTAATACATAATAAATTTGATTTTGAATTTTATCACTTGGTACAAAACAAACATGCAACGTTAACAAAGACAATAAATAATTATGGGTTTATGAGATCCGGGTGGCAAGGACACCGAACAAACATGTCTAGATAAAATGTATCAGTTCGGAGCCCCGAATAGCTCCAAACAGGCCTAAAAATAATACGGACTAATCACTAATATTCCGTATTTGCATATACGCAAAGGCCATCAATCTTCGTCTTTCTCTTTCTACGTGCGATCTCTTCCACCACCTCCCTATAAATCTCTTTCTCTCTGCGATATCTGGTGCTGTGGCGCAGGGTAACTGCTCTCTGCTCCCTTTTTCTCACCAAACTCGCAGTCGTCTATAGACCTCTGTATAATTCTGTGTATGGCTTTGTGATTGCTCTGTTACTTTCAATTGCCACTGTTAATTTGCGTTCACGCTTTCATGTACTGTAATCGTTTTTTTCCATTTCTGTTATCGCAAATTATGAGCAATCTTTTTGTTTCTGTTTAATTCCGTTCAAGATTTCCGATTTGCTTTGTGTTAAGATTTTCCATACAGTTTTGTCCTTCAGAATCATTTGTTGTTGAACATTTCTATGGTTACTGGGATTGGTTGCCGGAATAGTAGTTTATAGTGTAATAGTTTCCATAGAATTAGTGTTTGGAGCTGGATATCAGATAGTTGTAATTGAGCTTTTGAACTGATTGGTTCCTGTCATTTGGAATACTAATTTTGGTATGATGTGTTTTTGTTCAGTGTGTGGCATTGACTATAGAATGCAACAGCGGATCAGTTGATGCCATGTGGTTCCTTGGATGTATAGTCGGCAATTTCGTTCACAATACAAAGTGCAGTCTGTTCCCAATTGTGTTCTTGAAGGGTATTCTGTAAGAAGACCCTTCTGGGCAGGAACTTTTGTGTTAGCTTCTTGCTTTTGGAACCAATAAGACAAGTCTGCATAGCCTGTTGGTGTAATTGTTCCGGATTTGCTAACCATGCCAGCTGTTCAAAAGCTTTATAATGCTTGCAAGGCATCACTCTCAGCAAATGGACCTGTTTCAGAAGAGGGTCTTGAGAAAGTCCGTTCTCTGTTAGGTAAGAGGACATAATGCCTTAAAGGTTTGCTTAACAAGGTCCATATGAATCCATCTATGTTTGGTGTATGCATCTTACATGCTTATGCATATATGTGTAATGTTGTAGAAGGCAGCGGGCTAGTAATAATAATAAGAAAAACACAGCAGTGTACACGTTGCACACCAAAAAAAAAACAAAAAAACTCAGCCGAGTTTGCCGACTTGGGCGGCTAGTCTGCCGACTAATGTCTGCCTATATGTGCATTCTAGTTATCGTTTCAGACTTTCAGCTGCTAATTTACATCCTATTTTAGGCATATGTTGACACAATGACACCTGTTGAACACTTTAATAGTTTAATGAACCATGTGCATTTGTTTGATAATGTCTTTCTTTTCGTTTGCTATTTATGCCACTAGTTTACATGCAAAGACATAGTATACAAGGAGTGTTTTAGGATGAATTTCACATGGATATACCTTTGTTGGTTAAATGAATCAAATGGGTATTATTTATAGCATCATTAAGGTGATATCACATTTTTAGTGCATGGATTTTGAACCGTTGACCTAACACCATTCTCTCTATTGGTATGCACCAATTTTCCTGAACTATCTAAAATGGCAATTGATACTTAAATTTTACAAAATGCATAATAAAGCTTGGTAATTTGTTGTTCACTTGTATCAGATGTGTACTGACATCTTACAGACTTTCAGTTCACTTAGTTTTTCATGTTGCTAAATATTTCAATGCAACTCGTTATCACACTTGAGCAATATCTTTTACCAATGCATCAGTTTCTTATATTATATTTTTTCTTATTATTCTCATCTGACAAGCTGCAAAATACAAGTGATTCATAATTTCATACATCATAACTTCATAAGTACTTTTCTTTTGAAAATGAAACCTTCCAAGTACTATTTGTTGGAGTGAGATATATCATTTTGGTTCTAGTCTAGTTCAATATGGATTGGTCTGATACCAATTTTCAATTAGGTATAGCTCACTTCTGCTTAAAATCACCTGGGTACCTTTAAGGGATTATTAACACTTACTAGGAGACTGTGGAAATGCCCTTGTTGCATGGTTACATATTTACATGTGGTAGTTTGGAATTATAGTTTGAGACAAAGTGCCAATTAGCAATCTATAACAGCCAAATCTAACAGTGCTGATCTATATGCTGTATCCATGGTTTTAGATGTTTCGCCTTATATGGTAATTAGTTATTTAGGCATGATACCGTGTGGTTAGAGTGGTAGGTTCAAGAGCTTCAGCAACAGTAATAATTCTGGTGCTATTCTTTATGTTTCAGACAAAATCAAGCCATCTGATGTAGGTCTTGACCAGGAGGCACAATTGGTACGAAATTGGAATGGTAATGGAGTTGAGCGCAATGGAGGTCTCCAGTCACTACCACCCATCAAATATCTTCACATACATGAGTGTGATAGTTTCTCTGTAAGTTTTAAGCCTTTGTTTAACCAGATATTTAGTTGGTGGTTGGGATAAAGCCAAGGTCGACATGAGCTGCAACATTTTACTTTTAAAAGTTCGTAAGTCTTATAAATTCAGTGATTTTAACCTTCAAGTCTATTTAATATTTTTTACAGATGGGAATATTCTGCATGCCACCTTCTTCCATCATTCCCCTTCATAATCATCCAGGGATGACAGTTTTGAGTAAGCTTCTTTATGGTTCTTTATACGTGAAAGCGTATGATTGGGTAGACATACCTGGGCCTTCTGATCCATCTCAAGGTGTGTAGTTTGAAGTAAATATTTTGCATCCAAAATTGAATAGAACTATCCTACTCAGTTCATATTAAATCATGTGTTTTTTTTGTTTTTTTTTTTTTTCCCATCTTTTGTGGATACACAGTTTTTTCATATGATATGACATGGCCTATTAATTTTATTTTGGGTATATTTATTTGCTCACTGATTTATGCTATCCAGCAGTTTATGCTTTTTTTTTTCCAGCTCATATTGCTCATTATTTGCTTTTCTTTGTGTTGGTTCTGTTGTCCATTGTTTGTGCCTCCTTGGTTTTTCAAAATTCATTTAGATTTTTTATGTTCATTATTATGACATTTTACTCTCTCTCTCTCTCTCTCTCTCTCTCTCTCTCTCTCTCTCTCGTTTAATATTTTGGTGGATTTTTGGGAAATTATTTAATTATTTTATTCATTCTGATTACGCATTTACTTTGTGATCAATGGTATTATAGTTCTAAAAGTTTATCCTCAAAGATCTATACAAAACATTGTCTACACTGTACTTGGGTTTTAGTTCGACCAAGAGTGTTCTAAAATGGTCTGAGAAGTTATGAAGGTTTGGCAATTGTTGAATATGGTAGTAAGCTTAAATTTCCTTGATTAACTTTTTCCAAATCAACATGACCTGCCAACAAGCCTGGTTTGCGTCAATTGCAGTCATTTCTTAACAGGAATTTTGTTGATTGACCATTTTTGTTATTGTGAAGGATCTGTTCAAATGTCTAGTTAGGTCTCACTCAGAGTAGTTTCCTAATTACATGCTGTTGATGGTTTTCCAGGTGCAAGACCAGCAAAGATTGTTAAAGATTGTGAGATGACTGCTCCATGCGGGACAACAGTTCTCTATCCAACCAAGGGAGGCAATATTCACTGTTTTAGAGCTCTTACTCCTTGTGCTATCTTTGACATCCTGTGTCCACCATACGCTGCTGACGATGGGCGTGATTGTACTTATTTCCAGAGGTCTCCAAGTATGGATCTTCCAGGTAATGGCCATTAGTAGCTAACTCAGTATTGCCATTTTGTTATTATTATGATCATATTAAAACATTAGGCGTGAATAAATTTTGTCATTGTTAAGGTGATGTAGAGGTGGATGGATTGACTGTCTCGGAAGTGATTTGGTTGGAAGAGTCTCAACCTCCAAATGATTTTGAAGTTCGTAGAGGGCAATACAAGGGCCGCACACTAAAAACCTAAGGATCATTTTTTGTTCTTATCCTCCAGTCGCATTCAAGTATTGAAAGCTTCATTTGGATGTTATTTAGGCGAAATAGTGATATATTATTTATCATCTAGTGTCTGGTAGTGACTTGTGTTGGTCAGGGACACAGAGTGGGGCATTTGATATGTATATATATTAATATATCATTACATTAATTTACCGACCTCGTCTTAAACTAGTTAAGACTTAAGACTTAGACTACTTGTCATTTTTCACCTCCCCCCTAGTTTACTTCTGAAATGTGATAAAGAAAATGGCTGAGCTGAGTTATTATCTAGTAGAACTATTACCCTTGCTTACAATTATAGCATTGGGAATTGCTTGAAACTTGAATTGAGTTAAATATTTGAAGCATTAGCAATATATAATTTATACATTTCTAGCGAATCACATGTCAGTCCTGTTTACAGTTATTTTATCAGTCAATTTTGACTTATTTGATCACTATTAGTTGTTTGACTTTGTTAAATAGTCAATATAAGTGTTTGATTAATTAGTTTTTTATAACAATTTATTGTTCTAAAATGCTAAAATTCAAAAAGCTGCTTTGATATTAGTTTTTTAATAAAGTCATTTTGCATGTAATCAACTAATAACTAATTTATCAAACATCAACATGCATTTGATAAAGCGATCGGGACAGTTCATCTCTTTAGTAGCTTTAAAAAGGTAATGTAGATAAATTGTGTTTGTAGTTTATAAATTTATTTAGAAAAGTAAGGATTTGATGATAATAATGTAAATACAATTATTTCAATAGCAGAAATTTTATCTAGAAAGGTAAGGGTTTGGTGAGAATGATGTAACTAGGGCTATTTCAATAGTAAAAAAGAAATATCTGAAAAGGTAGGGTTTGATGAAAATGATGTAATTAAAGCTATTCTAGTTGCTGAAGTTTAATCTAGAAAGGCAGGGGTTTGGTGAGAATAATGTAATTAGAGCTATTTCAATTGTATAAGAGTTCAATGAGAATAGAATGATATAACTAGAGCAGTTGGAGCGTCAAATGAGAGTTTAATGAGAATGATAAGATTAAAGCGGTTAGATTTCAAGTGAGAAGTGAGGTGTTTTGACACGCAAATAAATTTATGATAGGGATGAAAGAGAGGGTGATGTAGCGGTTGGAAGGCTTTTAAGTGTAGTCTATTGTTGAATCACAAGAATACGTTGACAACATTGAACAAGACGCTCAGCTAAACCTGTCATTCTATCAACTTCTAGCCGCTAGCTGTAAGGTGTTCAGTAATTACTCCCTCACCTACAATCTACATGCATTTATATGTCACTGAGATTCAGAATTGCAATTTGGTAGTTGGTACTTTAACTTCAAATAAGGATGTTGATACCACAAAACTGGAGGGACATATGCCCTACAGTACACAACAACAATGAAGCTTATTTAATTTCTGAACCTGACAACTTGCTGTGACCAACCCAAGAAAAAACAGTTGATAGAATGTATGCTATTAAATAGGAGAAGTAAATGCCCAGCACCGGCAGTGTGAGGATTATGTCCAAAGTGGACAAATCCCTTGTGCGCACCGGCAGCGTAGGGATTATACTCAAGTGGGCAGATCCCTTGTGCGCACCGGCATTTGGCCCTGTCTGCTGAGCCAGTGAGTCACCGTAATTTACATTCTCCCAAGTACTCTGTCGAGTCGGGGTGTGGGGGTTCAACATTTTGGGAGAAGAAGAATGTATGCTAATAAATAGGAGAAGTAAATGCTCAGCACCGGCAGTGTGAGGATTATGCCCAAAGTGGACAGATCCCTTGTGCGCATCGGCAGCGTAGGGATTATACTCAAGTGGGCAGATCCCTTGTGCGCACAGGCATTTGGCCCTGTCTGCTGAGCCATTGAGTCACCGTAATTTACATTCTCCCAAATGCTCTGTCGAGTCGGGGTGTGGGAGGTTCTTAGGGTTGGGGATTCAACAATTTGGGAGAAGAAGAATGTATGCTAATAAATAGGAGAAGTAAATGTCATGAATAACAGGAAATAATACACTGCCTGCTAAACACTAACAATGAATCCAAAATCTAATTCTTTCACCAGATTTCTTCAAACATGTCTTGATGCCTTTCCACTTTTTGCCAAGGAATCTGTGGACAGTAAAGGTATCTATTTTATTATTATGCAGTTGCATGCCATGCACAAGAAGAGAGCATGTTTTACATGGAGACCAGAAATACCCTTTTATTGTAATGTATACAAGACATTGTTCTCTTTACAAATCCATCAATCATTTGAAAATAGATAGTAAATTAACAGACATGATGGCACTTGAAGGGGAAAAAATTTATTGTCTATATAATTACAGGTCAAGAAACGGGTGCAAGAAGATACAATTATCACCCCACTGTAATGGTATGAAGAGTATAGTGTTTATTATATATCGCAAAAACTGTATTTTTTTCTGAATTTGAACACCTTGGAATCTTTTCAAGCGATCAGATAAGGTACAGGGAAGATCCAGAGGATATCTGATGAAGATGTGCTACTGAGTTTCTGGAATAGGGGTCAATGCCATTGTCTCCTGTTAGAATGAGAAATTAATTAGCATTAAGAATAGAATGGAATGGTAGAATGAGCTCTCTTGGCTCCTAGCCGAAACAGGGTTTATTTTCGGGGAAAGAAACTGCATTGAAGAAGCAAAAGAGTATACCTGAGAGTATCGCAAATGATTGTGGTGCCCCTTTGTTGTTTTAACCATTGTCTCCCATTTGGGATCATCAGATGGCACCTTAAATGCCTGGTTTCTAGGATTTCCATTTCCAAGATAGGGTCGTAATGAAGAATTCTTTGTGGGCAGTGAAGGCAAAGTGCGGCAAAGCCAGGATTCTGAGGGAGACATGGGCAAAGGTGGGGGTACAGGAAACTTCGAGAGCACTCTCTGTGTATTTTCCAATCTTTCAGTTCTTGATTCTTTCTTTATGGAACTTTCATCAACTTCACTGTCAAGCTTTACATTTGAGCCTTTGTAAAAGAGATCGGCTTTTCCATAAGCCTTCCTCGGTTTCCTTCTAACTTCAGAATTCAATTTATCAGCTGAAAAGAGTGGAATGAGATGAAGAGTTTCTTGAACCACAGGCTTTATTTTAGTTCCTTTTTCCACAGAGTTTAGGTTGCCATCTTCTGAGAAAGGAAAATCTAACGGTTTCTGTCCTATTTTCTCTGTGAGAATCTCACAGTCCTCTTTAATCAACTGAGGTGGTCCCTTTGTCTCTGGAGAACATGGTACCTGAATCAAAGATTCTACCTTGTGCATAGTATCTACATAAAGAGTTTTCTCTACAACAGGATTGCCTGAATCTTCTTGTGTTGCATTACTCTGACCAGTATTATCTGATTTTCCCCGAGTTGAAAGGCTAGCTTTCATGTCATACCTTTGAGGCGGTTCATCATGGTAGGCTGAGATGCCATTTCCTGATAATTCCTTATACGTGGATGATCCGTCAAGTTTGTGATCATTAACCGTACGGGTGGTTTTCATTTTGAATTCATCCTCCAAGTCATTTGTACTTTCGTAAGGCTCAGCTGTTAGGAGTCCAAACACGGACTGTTGCTCACTTCCATCTGATATTGATCGCTGTAAAATTAGAACACAATCATAATCAGCATGAATGGATAAAAACTTAAAAAGATTATCTTAAAATAAGTTCTTGAAGGGGGGAAAGGTAGGGGTGGATCAAAGAAAAGAAAGTTGATACCTCATTCTCAGTTCCACTACAGGAACCAGCAGATGAGGATCGAGTCTGGGTTTTACTGATGGGAGACATGGGTACTTGAGTCCTCATTCCGGGTACTGGATTCATAAGGAAAAATGGACTTTTCAGACAAAAACGAGGCAGTAAACCACAGGCTTTAGGAGGTAAATATACATGTTCATTCTCGTCGTTATCATCATCACTTCCTTCTTTTGCATAATCATGAGATTGGTAATAGTGCTTGGCAAAACTAGGTCCATAACGAAGTTGAGGTCTCCTATCTGCTTTTATTCCCTTCTTTGGCTGTTGTGGTTGCTCGTGAACAACTGGTTGCTTCCTGGGGGCATATTGAGGTACTTCAGAAGTCATGTCTGAAGCCATGGCCTTGGCTGCTGGCAGAAATCGATCAATCATGAAACCCCGAGTTTGTGGATCTGTTGGAAAGGCTCCCAATGGGCTCCTCTCTGGTTCATCCAATCCACTCAAGCCACTAACACTACAATTCAGGAAAAACGATTCAGTTCTTGAGAGCGTATCGAGGGCATCTACATACGTTTCATCTTCATCCGCTGACTCAAATTTCTCTTCATCCTCCACAGTATCACTCGAGCTGCCAAAACTCCCCGGCTTGTTTACCTTCCTGCTCGAAGGCTGGAAATGCTGTGACTCACGAGGAACGTTTTCCATTTCACTCTTCGCAATAGTTGGACTTTGAGGAGCTTTAGTAACGTTCTTCGGGTCAGCTTTCAAAGTTCTACCAGGGGGAAGTCTTGGAACAATAGGAAACCTATTATCAGTTTGTGGACTCGCTTCATCCTTCGGTCTTCCAGGGCTCCGTTCCCAAAGGAATGGCACAACTCCGGGATTACTCACGGGGCCAGACTTCAGTTCCGATTTGTAAAGAGGAGGCCGAGGAACAGTATAGCTCGAGATATCAGTTGTCCTTTTATCATCTTTACTACCTGTGGTCGTCGTTGATGAGATTCGCCTTACTGACAGAAGGGGTTGATTTAGGTTCAGTTGCTTGTCTTCCATTAGAGCGTTTAACGTTATTCCTGTACACATCATCGATCGAATTATGACAGCTCAAATTACAGATCACCTTGCAAGTTGCAAACATGGGAATGAAGCTGTTAAACTGCTACAATGTTCTTTCAAAAATGGTTCAGAATCCATGAAAATTTTATAGCAAAGCTTTCACCTTTCTATGGGACAAAGAATCATGAGTTGAATAAAGCATGTAAAAACTCAAATAGTTTATTCTCAACAGCACAAAAGATACATAGTACTATTTAAACACATAATTACTCATAGACTGGAATTGTTTGCTAATGGATTCAAATGGGGAAGATCCAATTCTTCATCCAGTCAACCAATATGGACTCAAAGTTCACAGAAAAGTCAAAAAGATGGAAACCCCTTTCTAGCAATCTTCATTGCCAAATTCCATTTCTTGACATTAGCAGTTAGTTTCAGAAAAGGACATCTCTCTCTCTCTCTCTCTCTGAACTGGAGAAGTTGAGCTTTAAGCTTTGCAAGCAAAATTTGAACCAAGAAAATCCTCAACACCAACTTCATAAACACCCTTTTCAACCCATTTTTGCTCAACTCAATCTGAGAATTCACAGTAACCCAAAACCCCCCTTCAACACCCCCTCCGATCCCATCCTCTAAAATGGAAAAACAAAACAATATATATATCTAAAAGGGCAAAGGGCTCACTGGAAGGTAGAAATCATTCAACTTGAAAAGCACCAAGCAGCTCAAATAAATCCTCCAAAAGAAAACTGAATCCAAGAAAATCATGGAGGAAGAAGATAGAAATTACCTTTGATGTATGGACAACTTTGAGCCACTGATGAAGGATTTGCATATATCCCTCACTTCACATATGCACACATAACACATTAGCTGTAAAACACTTGAAGAACAAGAAAAATAAAGCCTTTAAAGACAGGGAATGAGCAAGGGGAGAGAGGAGAATATTGCAAAAGAATAAATATATGTATCAGTAAACGCGCTTATTCATTTGGATTTTCTTGATATATAGAGTTAACAAGAGCTTCATTTAGGCAGCTTGTGTATATGGATTATGGAAAACTCCATTCTTTTAGCAATTGTTTATGTTTAATTTACTTTATTTCCTCTTTTATAATTACTACCTCTACCGGCTTCTCCATCATTCATCTATAATTTAAATGGGTCATTATTCCCTTTTTATTTTTTTTTCTTGATTGATGTAACATAACTTTATAGTACCAACGTCATATTAAATAATAAAAACATATAAAAGAAAACACAAGTGGTATATTATATCACAAGAAATAAACACATTCCATAGTCATATGAAGATATGGCTTGATTTTTATAAAATTTTATTAAATGTTTTACAAAATACTGACTTTTTAAAATAGTTGACTAATAATTGCATGTTACTAATTAGTAAAATTTTGATCAACTTTTTTTAATCTTTTATAACCCAATAGTTTATAGCAATTTGTAAGTGATAAAAGTCAAATTTGGATTAATTCCGCAGTAGTGATAATATTAGATGTTGTATGTAAAATAAAATAAAATCTAAAAAAAAAAAAAAAAAAAAACTAGAACATTTCGTACTACAAAATTGTCTAAAGCCACACTCAATGCTTACAGTGTTGCAAAAATCCCGCATAGACACTAGTTGACCGCCTAGCATATCATCATAATTGGTGGTCTAGGCGGTCGACTAGGTCGCCTTGTCGGTCGATTAACTATTTTTCTATTTTTCTAATGGATTATTTCACTCAAAACGATATCATTTCGAGCAAAATAATCCTAAATTGTTCAAACTCTAGATTTTTTATATTAATATTTAATATTTTAGTATTAACTATTAAAATATTAAATAATTTATACTCCGTAATTATTAAGTCTTAAAAGACTAAAAAAATTAAATAATTTTTAAAAAAATATATTACACGGATGCCTAGGCGTCCCCAAGCGTCTAGCAATTTTTCAACCATGGATGCTTAATACTAAGTAAAATTTGTTTATACATAAATTATTATTTAAAAAAAAAAAATCAATCTTACCACCTCTCTACATCACAAAATTATCAATCGTACCCTTAAAAAAATTACTTAATAATTTAAAACATTAAGTCAATTGGTTCATTCAAATCTCCATCCTCACCCAAAATATTCTACCAAAATAATTATTTATTGGTTGAGTTTTGCATGTAGATGGTGGCTTGATGCAAACTTTCTAACCAAATCAGATCAACTAAAAATGATGTATTTTTTAACACAATTAAAAAAAAAAAAAGAAGGAATCTAATACTTTACTTAGACCAGTTATGTGATATTTTGGAAAAAGTGTTTTGGATCATGTGATTACATTAAATTAAAAGGGGAGGGGCCACAAAAGTCGTAGTCATACACATGGATGAATTGCTGGTTCAAATCTTGGGAAAGAGAATTTTTCTTACCAACGTAAGTAGGTCCTCTTCGAGTCATACCCTGAATAATTGGTACATAAAAGGCTATTAAACTATGGTTTCCACACCTCACTATCACTGCATCATTATCTGTAATTATTGAGGGGATTAGGATGACCTTTTTCCTTAAAAGTTGTCTTTTTCCCTCTCCCCTTTGCGACGTGGGACGACTTGTGACTATTTTACTTTGATTTATCAGAAAAACCACCATTGCTATTTATAAAAATGTTCTAAGTGAAATTCATAAAAAAGTAAATTAATCTAAATTGGCAATAACAGATCGGTTCAAATAAAAAAATATAATAAGCAGCTTTCATTGAAAATTAAATTTAAAATTTTATAATTATCAAGTCAATTGTCTAATTGAACACACACTCCGACGGTTGGTTTTGGATGAGTATTTTATTAAATTTAAAATTATTTATAAAAAAAAAAACCATAGTATTTTATAGGCCACTAAAATGGCAAGCTTTAGTATGCATGTTTTCTTCTTCCAAAGTATGCATTCTTCTACCAACCCCCTTTGATACAATTGTTATACATAGACTAGGTTTATATTGCATTGTTAACTTTGGTCCAAATATTATGTATCTACAATTAACACATTTTGTATAATTAACTATTTTTGTATCTGTAAATAAATTGAATGCACATCATGTTGAGCGTCGGCCGGGTTAGCCGAGTTTAGCCTCTGCTCGATTCGAGATATGGCGTTGTGGGTTACTGTGAAGGGATATGGTTAAATGGTTAATGTCCACCTATTTATCACCAATTGTTTTAAGTAGGAGATGACAACCAGATAGTCAAAGAACTTTATGGTTAAGTGATACGAACCCGTATCAAGCCGACACCGCTTTGAGTGGATGCAGACTCCAGAGTTGGAATTAGGCGAGGGGAAAATCAGGGAGAGAGAGAGAGAGAGATTTCACAGAAGGAAGATGATAGCAGAGAAGAAAAAGATAATAATAATTCGCATGTCTTTCCGCCTAGCATGCAGGGTGATTATATACTAAGTTACTCCTATTATGTTTAGGACTATGATTCCTAATTAATATGATATAATAATGTATTAGGACTAAACTAATGTATCCTATTACGAATAAACTTAGTCTAACAAATGTAATCAGCCATCCATGCCGGTTTCCTTCATTTTCTCCTTGGCCTAGTAGCATGGGTTGCTTCTTTTCTTTCTCCCAATTCTTGATTTTCACCTTCTTCTACTGTGGATATACTCGTATCACTCCCCTTCCCTTCGACGACCACCTTGTCCTCAAGGTGGAGATTCGGGTACCATCGTTCCATTTCATTGGCAACTTTCCAAGTGGCGTTTTCTGGATTACTATCTGACCATTGCACCAAGACTTGGCGTTGTATTTTTCCATTTTTTAGAACATTCCGTTCCCCACATAGTGCTAGTGGAGTTGAAATTGGTGATTGGCCCACAATTTCTTCCGGTAATTGGACCTCTATATTTTCTTCAGTTCCTATGTGTTTCTTGAGTTGTGAGACATGGAATACTGAATGAATTCTTGCTTGTGGTGGTAGCTCGAGGCGGTATGCAACTTTCCCTATTTTTTCCAAGATATTGAATGGACCATAATAGCGTCGTGCTAGTTTGTTAGAGCTTCTACGTGCTACTGATATCTGTCTATATGGTTGTAGACGAAGCCAGACCTTATCTCCTACTGAAAATTCCACTTCGCTTCTTTTGGCATTGGCTTTTTGGGCCCTGCGATGCTGAGCTTCCCGAAGATTGTGTTTCAGTGGCCTCATCAATCTGTCACGATCCAACAATAATTCATCTAGTGCTTGCACTGTTGTTGTGTCTTTTGTATACGGTGCTAAGGTGGGTGGTGGTCTTGTATATAGTGTTTGAAATGGAGTCATTTTAATGCTGCTGTGGTAGCTTGTATTGGCGCAAAATTCTGCCCACCCCAAGTATGACGTCCAATTGGTTGGTTTGATGTGAGTAAAAGCCCTTACGTATTGCTCTAAGCCTCGATTCATTACTTCTGTCTGCCCGTCAGTCTGTGGATGGTATGATGTGCTTCTCTTCAGTGTTGTGCCACTTAGTGTGACCTTCAAAGTATGTAACTGTAATTGCTCAGCAATTTTGGGTTGCACAAAGTTATGGGTGATGCCACTATCTATTAAAATCTGTAACTTTCGGCCATTAACTTCTCCCAAAAGTTTAAGCGATCTAGGGTTACCCGGGCTTGCCAATGAGTTTAGACTGGAAATATCTCCTGCGATTATGTCATCTTGCCCATGCACTATGGTTTCTTCTTCTAAGATTGGATCTACTGTGGTTTGCTGTGTCAATTTTGATAATTTTCCTTGGGAATCCTCAAAACGAGACTCGCCGAACCGCTTTGTGATATTCTATAAAAATTCCTTCCATGTAGTTAACATTCCATTCCTTTTCATCCATTGATACCACCCAGAAGCATTCCCTTCCATTGTGAATCCAGATATTCGCAATCGCTGTGTGTCGGGTGTATCATAAAAATCAAAATATTCTTGAGTTCTAAATATCCAACCATGAGGGTCTGAGCCATCAAAGCGAGGTAACTCAAGTTTCATATGAAATCGTTGGGTCCGTTGGCCATTCTCCGGTTGCAAAGATGATTGTAGATGATTATCAGGCGGAGGCCCTAAAATTCCATGTTTTTGAGGTTGCACTGCTGCATTTTTATTTGTTGTTACCATCGTTTCCAACCGTGACACGGAGGTAATGAGTTGTTGAATGAGTTGGTGATTTGTAACAGTTTGTCTATCAAAATTTTCTTGCAATTCAGCAATTGCCTGCTCCCAAGGACGAGTTGTTGATGTAGATTGGTTGTCTGACATAATGGAGTAAGATTACAGTTTTGAGTGTGTAAAAGAACAAGAAAGATGAGTTCGATGCAATGAAAGCACCAATTGATACGAACCCGTATCAAGCCGGCACCGCTTTGAGTGGATGCAGACTCCAGAGTTGGAATTAGGCGAGGGGAAAATCAGGGAGAGAGAGAGAGAGAGAGAGAGATTTCACAGAAGGAAGATGATAGCAGAGAAGAAAAAGATAATAATAATTCGCATGTCTTTCCGCCTAGCATGCAGGGTGATTATATACTAAGTTACTCCTATTATGTTTAGGACTATGATTCCTAATTAATATGATATAATAATGTATTAGGACTAAACTAATGTATCCTATTACGAATAAACTTAGTCTAACAAATGTAATCAGCCATCCATGCCGGTTTCCTTCGTTTTCTCCTTGGCCTAGTAGCATGGGTTGCTTCTTTTCTTTCTCCCAATTCTTGATTTTCACCTTCTTCTACTGTGGATATACTCGTATCATTAAGCATGCCTTGACTTACAACAGTCACAAGATGTGTGACCCTCTGGGAAGTAAGCATAATGCAATGCTAAGATCCATCAATTGGTATCAGAGCCAAGGTCACAGGTTCGAATCGATTGCTCCGCGAAAGCCGAGTCCAGTCCCGGATAGGATGTGGGCATAGGTCGGGCCAATTTCAGTCTCAGGATAGAGAATAGTGGGAGCGGGTGCTAAGGACTGAGTCATGCATGTTGCGTACTGGGCTTAATTGGTGTTCAAAGGTTGCGGCAGTGCTCGATTCGAGAAGTGGCGTTGTAGCTTACCATGAAGGGATGTGGTTACACAGTTAATGTATACTTTATCACCAATTGATTTTAAGTAGAATATGACAACTAAATGGCCAAAGAAGTGAAGAACTCTGTAGTTAAGCGTGCAGCGCAGTACATAATATGCTAATGACACATAACATGTCATGTATCTTTAGTTAACATATTTCGTACCTATTGTTAATAGTTTATGTGTATGGAATTACCATGCGATGTTCATTCACTTTGTTTACAAGTACATACACGATTAACTGCAAGTGCAAAATGTGTTAACTGAAGATACAAAATTTAAAGGTTATTTTTAGAACAGGGTTCACAATGCAAGGTGGTCAATGGTATAATTTGCCACTTTGATAATACTATTGACTACGAGAGGGCAAATTATGGTTCACAATGCAAACGCTGACCATGGTAAAAAAGAAAAGATATTCAAATTATGAACATTTAGTTAACAGATTATGTATATGCAAATACACTAAAGGTATATGATTTATTAATTGAATGTATATAATATATTAATTGCAGGTACATAATTAATATGTTAATTGTGATATGTACATAATTTATTAATTGTAAATATATAATAATATATTAATTGCAATGGTACCCGGGTTGAACTTCCATTTGGAAGGTTGTGAGTTCGAGCCTCAGTGGAGGCGTTATTAGCTCTTTGTGTTTCAGTAGGTTGAGAAAATATATGAATAGATACTACATTTTAATAGAGCTAGTAGCATTCAAAAAAAAAATATTAATTGCAGGTATATAATAAGTTAATTGTAATATATACATTACTTATTAAATGTATGTACATATAATAGTATAGAATGCTAGCTGCACCTTGGTGGCTTGGTGAGTTGGTGGATGGTATAACAATTGCTATGAGAGTCTAATTGATTAAAGAACTTGGGTTTTATGATCTTGATCTCTTTGGGCGCGGCTTTGCCACAGTGCCACGCTAGCCATACTTTCTCAACCTAGTGACTGAGGCTCGAACTCATAATCTTCCAAATGAAAGTTCAACTCGGGTACCATTAGACCACATAGTCCGGTAATGTGCTCAAGACTTTAAACTCACAATCATTGATGTCAACCATTGGTTAGGGAGCTATTTGCACCACCCTTTAGTTAAAAGTAGGTATAAAGTATTTTTAAATTGTAAAAAGGTAAAAAATTTCAATAATTATATAAATAGTGTAAAGAGCCAAATAAATTATCAAATTGTTATTTGCACCACCTTGATCAAATTTCATTAAAACATTAGTTAATTAAAACATTAAAAAAGAAAAATAAAAAACAAAAAAAAAAAAAGTCGAGAACGCCTTCTCCGGTGAGAAGGCGACCCACTGGGCTGCCTTCTCATCTCCTGTTTTTTTTTTTTTATTTAATTAGTAGTTTGATTATTATTAAATAAATAATAAATATTAATGTTTGACTACATTTAATGAGGTGGTGCAAATAGCACTTTTGTATATGTAGCACCTATAAAACTACTACACCTATTAAATAGATAGTGTAAATGACAAATAGGGTGGTGCAAATAGAATTTTGCTTGTGAATTACTTACATATATAGTAATTTTCGTGTATATTAAATATTCATTTTTACCGTTTCTAAAAAAAAATACATTCATTTTTATTTTTTGTGTGTGCGCACTATTTGTTCATTTTGAATATATTATCTAAAAATAAATTTATAAAACATTAAAAATAAACCTTTAACATACTATAAATAAACATTTATTAGTAATTCATCCTATGGTGTATGTAGATTATTATTTATAATATAATTTACCTAAAATGCCAATCTCCAACCAGAAGGCCCAAGATAGACAGATATAAGTAATATAACTTGTACGCTTACTACGGCAAATTATGTTGGAGCCCTGTGACCTTGTAAGATAGACACGGTTTTAAAATTATCTATAATTATGAATATATAGTTTAAAAATTATAAACATATAGTTCTGTAATTATGAACATAGAGTTATGAATATAATTATAAACATATAGTCCTGTAATTATGAATATAGAGATTCAATAATTGTGAATATAATGTTCAAAAATTATAAATATATAGCTTTATAATTATGAACATAGAGTTTTGTAATTGTGAATATAGAGTTCACTAATTATGAATATGAAGTTCAAAAAGTATGAATATATTATTTTATAATTATGAATATATAACCGTGTGCACCTTGTAAGGTAGACACGGTTCCATAGCATAACGATTGCGCTTACTACATGCCAGCCTGAAGTCGGCCCATAAATCTTGGGTCCATTCAGATAATTGGCCCAGTCTATTTACACTTTGTAATTAAAATAAAAATAAAAATTAGAAGAAAAAATAAAAGAAAAGAAAAGAAAAGAAAAGAAGAGAGACAGCAAAGAAAGAAAGTGGGTTCAAATTTAAACTTTAGGCAACGACTTTAAAAAGAGTTCACGCGGAGGAAGGTGTGGATGTTGGTGAGCCACCCTCCTTTGCCAGCTGGCTGTCGGAGGTAGCAGGCAGGCAAACTCCCCCAGACCCTTCCGCACGTGACTCACACCCCCCCACCCCTACCCCTACCCCCAATTCTTCACAAGTCTCGTCAATTCCCACTTTAATACGCGGTATATACGGAGTAATGTTACATGTATTTTATAAATTTTGTTGACATTTCACCAAAATAAATAAATTTTGTTGACATAAAGTGATGTTATTAAGTTCGTATATTGCATGTTTGAGATTAATTTAGTCATGAATAGATCCAGAAATTCTCTCCCATTTGGGTGAAAGGTAATAATTAATGAGATGTTTTGAAAAAAAAAATGAAACAGTTAGAGATCGAATCATAAATATTAATGATTAGAGATGAAAAATCACAACACATAAAAGCGAGATAAAAAATATTCAAAACAAAATATGAAACATAATTAATTAGATAAAATGATTCAAATGAAAAATATATTATAAATCTTTAATATTTAAAATGCCAAAAAAACAAAATTTTAAAAATACATGCTATGGGGGATTTAAACTCTTAGCATTTAAGACGAAAGTCATATACCTCACCATCTTAGCTAGCTCATTATTTATTTAAATTTACGTATATTTAGTATTTATAGATGTTTACTATGCATATACATAAGAGTCCTATACATAGTTGTCCTCACTGTGCATCCGCACTTGAATTTAGTCGAATTTTAATTAAGTTTCATTCAATTAACACTCTCCCACATAAGATAAATCTTTGAAAGTCAATGTCATTTGACCACTAGAGTCTCGAGCAATAATAATATTTTTTATGTAATAATATTTATTACAAAATCAAGCTTGAAGAATTCTTAATTTATATAAATAATAATATTTTTTAATTGACGAAACTATTTCACCATTGTATTCATTATTCTTTGATCTCTATACGTTTTTTCTAACTCTAACTATCGTCGACCAACTAAATTATATTGCTCCAGCAAGATGTACTCTGCACTTAAACAAATGTACTTCTTTATGTTCAAACATTTAATTAGTGCACTTTGTGAGAAAAATAGACCAAAGAAATTATTTGTATTATTACTATTGTTATTTTATCATATACACAACTAAATAATATTACATATTAATTTTAACTATTTTTCTCGTGATAAAAACTTACATTACGCTTGGCAAATATGAGATATATTTTATATTTATCACACAATTTGTATGAAATTTTCATAAATATCTTGTGTTACAATACTCACATAAAAAATCGTATAATAGGTCAAATTATTTGTAAAATATTATTTTAATTAAAATTTTTATTAAAATCGGACCATTTCTTACATGATAAGTACTAAAGTCTGTAAAATTTATTTTCTTTTGAGTATGCCCCTTATAAGGTTTGAATTCATAACCCCTTTTGGAGAGTCACTTCATGCCAGTATACAAAGTATATATGAATATATGATAAGTAATTTTATATATTTATCTAAAAATACTTTATTATTAAAAAAAAAAAAGAAAAAGAAAAGAAGAGAAATATAAGTATACCTTAATTAATAGCAGCAAGGAGACCCGAAAATAAGTATACTCGAATCGAATCCCCGCCTGTATTTTCTCTTCTTGCCTCGTTTACATCTCTTTCTCTTTCTGCAATCTCTAGAGACTAGAGAGTCTATTTCGAATCCTTTTCAGTGGCCAGTCAGCTGCAGTTGTGGATTGAGACATGAAGTTCAATCTCCCGGAACCGTGAGATTCAAATGCTACCAGTGAACTGCTTTCAGATTCATTTCCAAAGATCTGCAGCTGGTATTGTCTTTCGATCACGCTTATCTAGTTACATACATATCATATGTGTGAATATATTTGTACGTTTATAGTCATGCTTCTGCGTATATTCAGTTCCGTGAATTTTAAGTTTGCCGGTTATTGATTTTGGAGTTGGAAAGCTCAAATGTAAATGGAATTGGATTGTGTTGTCCGTGGTAGTATGTAGTGAGTGTTTGGATTTCGGAATGGATGGAGCTCGATTGATGCCGAATTCTACTGAATTCAGCAGTTGAAGTGGTTGTACATTCACATTCCAGTACGCATCGGAACCGTGATGTAGCGATTGAATTGTTGGTTTTTGAGCTGTTAGGGGAATTCGAAGATCCGGAATGTTGATCCTGACGGTTTAACATTTGGAAATTTTGGATTGGGAAGCTGTAGGGCGCAGGACTTGAGGAATTGTTGGATTTATTTGTATGTAGTTAACTTCGATTTTTTTCCCTTTTGCTTAGGAAATGAGTAGTTAGTTATACCACATTGGGTGAATGGTGTATTTTATTTACTCGCAAATATTAATGTGTCTGTGATAAGCTCTTCTCACAAACATAAATGAGAACGGTTGTGTGCACCTTGAGATGGGTTCTCATAGTTTGTTTATCTTTTAGTCGAAGCAGAAGCTTATTCTGCAAGGAAGACACTAAAAATGGTTAACATCTTGGGAATCACTTGGCCTTCTCTTGACTAGTCAAGGAATAAGAACTAGGTAACTCAACATCAGAGGATAATGGAAATTCAATCTAAAAACTGTTGCGCAGACTGGACTGCTCTCCTCCCCATCTCTGTGTGTTTGCTTCTTTCTTTGATCACAATGTTGATATATTTTTCATCATCTTAATAAGGACAATGGGCTGTAAATATTTGTATTCAAAAGTCTATTAATGTTGATTTTTTTTTTTTTAAATAATTGATTTTGGCATTTCACTCCTGTTTATAGTCTAATGTATATGGGTTCATTTTGAATAAATAAATCACTATTCTCCAGTAAGCTTTTTATAAGGTATTTTACTTTTCCTAGGGAAAACTTCAGCAGATTTAATTATACTCTTTTTTTTTTTTTTTTTTGAGGGATACATCAGATGTTTGCAGTGGGTTTTGAACCCAAGCCTCTAACTTAGACTTTGTTACCAGTTACCACCAAGCTAAGTCCTAAACCCCATTTATTTAATAATTGATGGTTTAACACTTGAAATGAGGTCAACTTAATCTACTTTCCAAAATTAGCAACAAGTAACAGTTCAGCTCTTAAAATTCTTAAAATTGAGCCATGGAATATTTTTTAATCTATTTTCTCTGGAGAACTTTCTTTATATTATGTGTTGCAGTGGCTAAGGACGTTACATAGTTCTGCAGTGCCTGGACTTTATGACCACTACTACAGATTACATCCTTGGGCTCTTAGAGTGTACATTTTAAGTTAAATTGTTGGACATTTTCTACTATTTGTTTTTAGCCTGAGAAGCAACTCCATGTGTAGTTTCTGAATTCTGAATAATTCCTTATCCCCCACCTGTTTGTATCCTCTATGACCTTTAAGTGTGTTTTTCACAACCATTTGTTAAATTGACCTTCTGTTCTTTATTTTTATTATTTTTAAAGGTTGACATCAAGAATTAGATATTAATCGGAGTTTCTATGAATTTCTTGACTTTGCAGGTCATATGGCCTTCAGTTTGTGGGGGTTGGTGGAAATAAAAGTTTCCAAATCATGTTTTTTCTTGGATTAACTTTGCAATTTACTAGCTCTTTTATGGGGTGAAAGTTGAAATGAAATGTTATTGCAACTCAATTACCTCTGGAAATGGAAGAGACACGAGATGAAACAGGGCGTGCAGAACAGAGACATCATACTTCCGAATGTTGGCCTTCCAATTTTGTTGAAAAGTTTGGATCTGTTTCCTTGGATCCCAAAGAAGAAACACTGAGGAATAAAGAATTAACTGAGAATGAAGTAGATAATAGTCCATTGTCTCAGACAGCGTCCCAGATCCTCTGGAGAACTGGAACACTTTCTGAGCCAATTCCAAATGGTTTCTACTCAGTTGTTCCTGTGAGCTCAAAACTTTTTATTTTGTCTTTATTTATTTTATTTATTTTTAATTATGTCCTTATTGCTTTTTAATTTTTTAATTTGTTTTCCACGAAAATGCTTAACCATATACATTTCTGACTTGTGGTTTATGGATTGGTAATTATTTTAAAATGCCTGCAGGAGAGAAGGCTCAAAGAGCTTTTTGAAGATATTCCTACATTTGATCAACTTCATGCATTGGAGCTTGAGGGTTTGAGAGCAGATATTGTACTTGTTGATGCTGAGAAAGATAAGAAGCTTTCTATGCTAAAGCAACTGATTGTTGCACTAGTGAAAGGCTTAAACTCCAATCCTGCAGCAATGATAAAGAAGATTGCTGGATTGGTAAGTACTTATTATATTGATTAACTCACTACCTTTCTTAGGGAAAAAAAAATCCATTTTCTAATGCCATTTCAGATGTTCACTTGGCAAAATTTTATATGGTGTTTGGGCAGTGAGAACAGGTAAGAAGTGAAGGGGTATACACTAGTTTTCACATGTTATTATTGAGTAAACGAGGAAAAATAGAAGTGCAAGGGTTAGTAAACATTGAACAGTGAAGAAGACCTTTTCTCTTCCTCCTACAGACGTACTAAACAACACAGTTCTTTCATATGATACACTAGTTTTTCATCTTGGTGAATTTACACATTTTTTGGGTATTGACATCTCATCTCCTTCAAAGTAATATGTATGATCTCAATCTCCAATACTTCTATTTTGAAAGGTTCATCATAGATTGATTTAAGAGCCTTGGTGAGGCCTATGGAAACAGGCTATAGATTAGATCAGCACTTAAATGGACCTTGATGCAGGACTACCAAATTGATCAATGTGTTAATTATTACTTTCCTACTATTTGATTGATATTTAAGCTTCTACTATGGACATTCAAAATCTATCATTTACCTCTGACTTTCTATTTAGGTTTCTGATGTTTATAAACGACCCAATTCTGAACTCAGCCCCGCAAAAGTTGCACTTGAGGAAACCTCTCATGTTTCCGACAACCGAGGTATCCAGATGCTAGGACAAATAAAGCATGGCTCATGCCGTCCTCGAGCAATATTATTCAAGGTTCTTGCAGATACTGTAGGCCTTGAAAGTAGGCTAGTTGTGGTAAGTTTTCTCTGTCTTTCGTCCTACCCATTTATAAATCTGAGATGAGAGAATTGCACTTGGCCTGCTATCTTCCTTTTAAGATTTCTTCTTTTTCATCTCTTATTGTTACATTTCTCTTTTATTTTTCACTTTCCAAAAACAGGGTTTGCCTACAGGAGGAGCTTCTGAGTGCACAGACTCATATAAGCATATGTCAGTACTAGTTGTGTTGAATTCGATGGAACTACTTGTTGATCTAATGCGGTTTCCTGGCCAATTGATCCCCCAATCTGCCAAGGCTATATTTATGACCCACATATCTGCTGCTGGTGAGAGTGACTCTGCAGAAAATGATTCCTGTGATTCACCACTGGAGCCTAACAGCCCTCTCTATGGGGTTTCAGAGAGAGGAGATCTTGAGAGGTTGATGAAAAGAACATCCCTTATTATTTCTAATATTTGTCATTCTCTTTCATTTTGTTTATGAGGTGCCATTTTATATTTCTTTAGGAGTCCATGTTTTTCCTCTCCAAATGGTAGGTAGCTTTATGCCTTGTTTTTATGCAATATCAATTTGTGTTGTCTTCCTTTTACAGTATTGAGAAAGATGATGCTGTCCAGTACCAGCGAAGACTAGAAGCATCTTCAAATGCAGCTGGGCCTTCATTGAGGAACATGATGTTTCGGTCTTCCACTTCTATTGACAGAAATTTGAGGTACCATGTTGAAATTTGAAGGTTTATAATATTTTTTCCCCATAAGACTTGGCAGAGTGAATTCTTATTAGACCTATTTCTTTTTACCAGTTCATCGCATAGTGAACCGAATATTGCTACAACATTTTGGAGGAGGGGTCGGAGCAAGGTTATCACTGAACCAAGAACTGCAAGTTCTAGGTTTGTTTTTATTCCAAGAAGTCTTACTAAAAAGATGTTTGTTACTCTGTCTTCTAATGACTTCTTCAACTTGGAGCCGTTGTATTGCCTGCTTTTGTTTTGTGATTATGGCTATGAAACTTGTATGATTACGGATTATAACTTCACTTAACATAACTGACAGAAAACTTGGCAAGATCAAAATATAAGTTTATGTTAATTGGGGGTTAGTGATAAACATTCATATGTTGGGGCACCACAACGAATGTTGACAATTGTATCTTAATATTCCTTTTTTATTTAAGAGAAGAGATTCATTCATTGTGTGCCAAGGGTGGCTAAAAGGAGTGGAGTATTCTGTCCCTTCAAGACATTGTTAAGTCCCAGATAGGATAAAACAAGTTGATCTGAATTCTGGTTTACAAAAGGACAATGCCTTTATCAGTTCATCACGACTTGTGAATTTAAGTTAGATTTGTTCAGTGCCTAAAATTCATGCAAAATGTATATATTTCTTGTAGTTTGTAGCTGTAACATTTTTTAATTTTAATTTTAATTTCTTTTTTTATAGTCCTGAACATCCTTCCTTTCGAGCACGTGGCCGATCCATGCTTAGTGGTGATCATAAAACCTTCAGAGGTTATACAGATGATGTTGCTACATCAAGGTATCTCTGCTTTTAGTTTGTTAGTTCACTTTTCCTTATTGTAGATCCTTCAAGGTGCGTATTTGTAAGTCAGCAAGTTTCCCTTCCTTCTCTTCTCCCTAATTTTGTTATAGGGGTAGCACCACCTTACTACAGAGGACTTGAGTTACATTCATTGATACAATGCTAATACTATCATCACTCTGCACTACGTATGACTTTAGTTACATTCAGTGATACTAGGTTTGGTTGTAACATTGGTTATCATAGATTGAAGCAAAAACTGTGGTCAACTGACCCCAAAAATATTGGCGTTGGACTTTTGTGGTGACCTGTGGGAGAAAACAGAAAAGTATTGACTTGATGCTTTTCTGTCAATGAGAACATCTCCACTGTATCTCAATGGCCTTTCCAGGCTCTAGCAAAGAAGATAAAATTTCTGAGTGCACATTGGTTCCAGGAAGGTTATAGTGAAGTCCTGTCTCATCAGTCAAAGACCACTTTGTTCATACATTTTCTTGAAATTTTAGATACATGCTTTGTCTCATGTTCCAATAATGAACAATTCAAAGTGGACCGTCTTCTTTTTGTCATCCATTTGCCAAACTATTTTAATTAACTTTTTCAAGAACTGTTATTATAACTTTTGCTTGCTGAGTTTCATTTTTGTTTCTGATTTACAGATCAGAAGGTGCACCCATGTCAGAGATACGTAGATTGAGAAGAAGAAGCATTAGTATAACTCCTGAAATTGGTGATGATATCGTAAGGTTGTCATTGCTATTCACATATTGTAACTATCATTTATATTGTCATTCTTGTCTTAGATATAATTAATAACATTAATGAGTTTTACAATGCCATCGTATTCCACATGTCACTTCATAATTCTTTGTAGTCTTTCTGAACACTACAAATAAATGTGTCAAGGTTTAAAGTTGGACATAAGTTTCCTGTCACTACAAAAGCTTTTAGCTTATTGGGAAAATGTGATAGAGAGTAAATTAAGGGAATAAAGGCAACAGAAGTAGATACTTGCAGCATGAGTGCATGACTATGATAAAAGAATCAAGGATTGCTGGAAAAATAACAAATCACAAACAAGAGAGGGAGATGATGATCCAAATAAATTTAAGTTTATATGAGAACTTTTATGTTGCCTGGAGCACTAAAGAATTTCATTAGTATCTCTTTCATGTTATGTATTTGGTAGAAACTGTTTCTGTAATTATGACTTGAATTTTCTCATACTATGGATTTTGTTCAAAACATAGCGCAGTGAACTTTTAACATTCACATTTATTCTCAATTTACTTCATATCTATGCCATAAATCACATTAGGGCTGTTCGAGCAATGAACGAAACACTGAAGCAGAGTCGTCTCTTGAGTGAACAAGGAGAAAATAGGCCATTTCCTTGCGCTTCAAATGACACAGATAATGCTTCCAATCTTCAGAAAGATGTAGGCCTTTTTTTTGTTCTTCTCTCATCTTGCACTGTACACATGACCATCCTACTACAATAGATTTTCATGTCGCTCACAATCTATTGTACCTTGTAGGCATCTGATTTCCACTCTGATGACCATGATGACATGTCTGGTAAACGGGCAAACTTGTTTGCTTATTCAAGGGAGCACATGAGTTCCCAGAAGGCAATGTCATTACCCTCCTCTCCTCATGAATTCAGGAGTCAGACTCCTCAATCAAGTCTGGCTTTAGATCACAGGGCAAGTGAAGAGATGGTCTCAACTTGGAACAGGGTTCTTGAATCACCAATGTTCCAGAATAAGCCTCTGCTACCTTTTGAAGAATGGAATATAGACTTCTCAGAATTGACTGTTGGCATTCGTGTTGGGATTGGTAAGCATTGCTCTTCTTCTTACTGTTCCTGACTTTAAAACCCCACTTTCTCTTCACCAAAGTAATAATAATAATAATTCATGATATGAGAGATTATTAATAGAATTCGGTATACTCTTTTCCTTACTGAAGAGGTATTCAGTAATCAACACAAGTACTTTTCTTCCCAACACAGGTTTTTCTGAGAACGTATATAGTAAGTGCTTTCTATGAGACCATGACAGCAAATCTTATAGGTCTAGATGCTTGACATGTGGTCCAAGTGCAGCACAAAAGTAGAGAAGAAAATGTGAATTGAAATGGCCTTCCGTGTTCTCAAATATTAAGTTCTGCATAAAATAACAGTCTCTGCTAAAACTGTTGTGCTGACTGCTGAGAAACCTAAACTTGAAAATACAAGCTACCTTATCAATTTTATGTATTTATATATTTATTTTTGTCTTGAATACTTGTAAATTCTGCATATTAGAGCATTGAAAATACACATTCATTGGTGGATGTGAATGGAAGCCATTACCAATTGTTTCCATCCCTTCAGGAATAACAAGGAATGAATATGGGCCTTTTTTTACGCTCCACTAGAACTTTGAATTTATCTCCATTCTTGAGGATAAGGAGAAACAAGAAAATAATGTAGTAAACTAGTACTTTCAGTTTTAGAACACAGTGCTATTGCTCCATTTTCCTGGCCAGTGTTCTTGTTTGTCACATCCATTGCTCACTGTTTTGTTCTTCAATTTTGTAATTCTCCATCTCTAGGATTCTTTGGGGAAGTTTTTCGTGGTATTTGGAATGGGACTGAAGTTGCAATCAAGGTGTTTTTGGAGCAAGATCTTACTGCTGAAAACATGGAGGATTTTTGCAATGAAATTTCCATCCTTAGGTATCATATTTTTCTTTAAACTAAGATTTATTTGTTTCAGATACACACTAAACTAACTTGTGATTTTTCTAATGGCTCTTCTGTGCTCTCTAGCCGTCTACGGCACCCAAATGGTATGCTTCTCCTTCTGGTACTCTTTTTTTCTTGTGACTAATGATATTCAAACATTGTTGCAAGCACTACTCAAATCTTAATGCTTTGTTGATGCCCTTTGCCATGCAGTGATATTATTTCTTGGTGCATGCACAAAGCCTCCACATCTGTCAATGGTTACTGAATACATGGAGATGGGATCGCTATATTATTTGATCCATTTAAGCGGTCAGAAGAAGAGGCTCAGCTGGCGGAAAAGACTTAGGATGCTGCGTGACATATGCAGGTTGGCTTTTCTTCATAATGTTGAGGACCATTATAGAAGTCCCCTTCTCAAAAGCAATTATGAAAGTCACAATTGTGGCAACTCACACATCTTTATGAATGCTTTGTAGTATAAAACTGGGCTACATTCTTTACTAAAGAGAATATATTGATGATTAATAACTGACTATTGTTTTCTCTGTGCAACCAAGGGGGCTGATGTGCATACATCGGATGAAGATAGTTCACCGAGATCTAAAAAGTGCAAACTGTCTTGTGAATAAACATTGGACAGTGAAAATTTGTGATTTTGGGCTCTCAAGAATAGTGACAGATGCACCAATGGAAGACTCTACATCTGCAGGAACTCCAGAGTGGATGGCTCCAGAACTTATTCGTAGTGAACCTTTCTCAGAGAAATGTGACATCTTTAGCCTCGGGGTTGTAATGTGGGAGCTGTGTACTCTAAGTAGACCATGGGAAGGTGTACATCCTGAAAGGGTAAGCCTACCATCTGTTGTTGGTTGCCACTTACATTAAAGCTTCCAATTTGTAAATACATGCTGCATTCCTTCCTATACAAGTAATTCGAGGCAGTAAATAGCAGAGCATTTTGTGTTTCATATCTCAGGTGGTGTATGCTGTTGCTAACGAGGGATCGAGGTTGGAGATACCAGATGGACCCCTGGGCAGACTAATTGCAGGTAAGCCCCACCAAGTTCCTCCCAACATAGAATTCAGCGCCCTTCAGAGTGGTTTAACAATCTCTTAATATGTGATTGCAGATTGTTGGGCAGAGCCTCAGGAACGGCCCAGTTGTGAGGAAATTTTGACACGCCTGGTAGATTGTGAATACTCACTCTGCTGATGCAAAATCTGTTCTTTTGTATAGATACACATGGTAGAGGTATTACAATGTGTCGGCTCAAGTTGTAACTTTTTGAGTGATTTTCAGCTCTATAAGTGTAGTGTTTGCCTTCAGCTTGACCATTAAAACATCAAAACCGTTTTGGGGCAATCAGAAAGCATCCTTGTTTGTTCAATTAGCTAAGCAAAATTACAAAAATGTGGAATCAAAAAGTATTTACTTTGTCATGCAACGACAGCTCTCATTTGTACATTCGCAGTAAGCAAGAACATTTCAAAAATTTTAAATGGATTTTGTTCCCCAAACTGGTGTGAACTACAGATTCTCACCCCCTGCATCAATCTGAAATCTGGCGCCTGTTTAGTTCTGCTTCAAAGCGACTTAAAGAATCAGCTCTCATCTCAGTGCTCATATCATTCTCAGGTGCTGGGTAATAATCTTCTCTCAGTTGCATATCTCTTAGGTTTGGGATAGTGAGAAAGAACTTCATGAAGTGTTCATGCGCTGTTCCATGAATGAAAAGCTTCCTAAGCGTTAAGCATTGTTGTAGCAAACCGGGTGCTGGTAGGGATAAACTCCTTTGGTTGACATCCCTGTCCTGTGGTGGCCAGTAATCAAGTTCGGTTAGACTCAAATTCCCAATTCCAAGCAGATAAAACCTTTCCCAGAGGCTCAAATCCATCTGCCCTGACGGCGCAGTGTGTGCATAGCCTATAATGTCTCCACAATCGAAATGCATCTTCGAAAGCTTAGGATAGCGCAAAAGAGTTCTCAACCCGAATGCTCTATCTGGAAGTTTAGACAATACCCTGCAATCGCCTTCCACCTTAATCCGTATCTCCTCCAAGTTTGGACAATTCTCGAGACCAGCACCAGTAAGCGGAGTGAGAAGCTCACCCACACCAATCCAAAGCGAGAGATAACGCAGCTTGTTCCAGGTCTGACCACCACCAAAACTAGTGCCATAGTCGTTGCCTTCACCATTGGCTTCATCGTACAGAGTATTCAAATCATAAGAATACTTTGGCCTTTTCTTCTTGTTGCAGCACATTACTGAATCATCATCACCATCATCCATACTAGTATCAGATTGGTTCGATACTCCAGCTCCATTTACCGTGTTGAGATCAAAATTGAACTCAACTCCATTAGAACTCCCCATATCCTCCACGCTATCCCACACGCAATCAATGTGAAGCCTTTGGATCGTATCTTTTATTGGCTCCAAGGCTTTCAACGACGAGACTGCACCAAGGTTTTTGCAGCAAGAGATCTTGACATCAACCAAAGTCTTCCTAAGCAAACTAGCTAGAGTTCTCATTCCCTTCATTGTAATCTTCCTACAACCTTGAATCTCAAACTTCCCCAGCCTGGAACACCCTCTCCCAATAGCTATCAATCCCATATCATTCAAGTCTCCCGGATTCCTAATTGATAAAGATCTCAGCCCTTGACAAAGAGCAACTCCATCTAACTTCCAATCTCTAGGCGTGGAAACGCCATGGAATTGCCCTAACTTTAGGAATTTTAATCTAGGACATCTTGAATTGAGAATTTCAAATGCAGGACCACTATCTCTAACACTATTACAAACATCCAAACCAAGTTCTTCTAGTAATGGAAGACCAGAAAATACCTCAATCAAAGTGGCAACCGTAATCCTTGCTTCCTCCGCTGTGAAACCCTCGTCCCCCGGATCACCTCTCGTACTGGATAGAGCAGAAGTATCGGCTAAATGAAGCACGGAGAGATTGGGGCATTTGGTGGCTATTGTAACCAGGGCTTCATCCCCGACATAACCAATGTACCTAGGATCGAACATACAAGCAGCGCGGAATTCTCTCAAATTGGGGCAGGATTTTGCAATTGCGGTGATTTCTTCGGACTTGAAGCCTTCGGAGAATGAAGGATTTAGGAGATTTAGGGCGGTGAGTTTTGAGGAAACTTGGGGGTGAGATTCAAGCGCAGGAGGAATATCATCGGTCCAGCAGTAAAACGCAGACAAGTCTAATGACACGATGTTCGAACATTCGCTAAAGAAGGATCCGAGTTCCTCGCCGGCGGCTAACTGCGGCCGTTGGTGCCACCGGACCAGCGTGATTTTCATCAGCTGCGGCCACTGCGCAGCCAGGAGCTGGAGGGTGGAGGGGTTGCGAGCGTAGAGCTTGAGCGAAGTGACGGACGGAAAGGCATGGCGGAGGAGGTGCGCGATTAGGGCCGGGTCAGTGGCGATGGCGGCGTCGGAGTTCGCGTGGGAGAGGAGAGGGTGGCCCCAAGGAGAGAGCAACGACAGATCGAGGTGCGTCACGGATCTGAAGCAGGTCGGAAGCATGATGAGGTCCCTCACGTTGCCGCGGAGCGTGAGGCAGGTCCTGGTGGCGCGTTCGAGAACCAGCCATTTCCGGCAGACGAGCGCGGCGGAGTTGCGGGTGCGGTCGTGGGAGATGGCGGCGATAACGTTCGAGAGGATCACGTCCGGCAAGTCATGTATGTTTGTGGGGGCGTGAAGCCGAACAGTAGAAGCTGGAGAAGTCGCCATGACTAATGAGCGAGCGAGCTAGCTAGAGCTAAGCGGATTGATAAGGATGACTGATATTGTTTCTCTCTCTACACAACTCCAGATGTGTATATATATAAATCGACGTATCGTGTTTGGGGCAAGAATTTCAATTGTGTTCTAGAAATTTTCATTTTTGTAGATTTAAATATTTAATGGGTGGGGCCTGGAGTTGGGGGTAAATTTGGAGTTATTGCACTATTATTACTGTAGGGGCTGGCTACAGACACCATCAAACAGCACGTGAGAGCAGGAGCATACAAACTCTATTTCCTATTGGTGCCAATCGGGCAACTACGTAACTTGTTGTTTTTTTGCATGACATTGATTTTATGTATATATATATTGATGTGGTAAATACACCAGGGTATACGAGTAAGTAATAGTAATGGGATATGGATCATATAATTGTACGGATTAATCCTGTGGTTGGTTTAGGTGATGCACTCGGGAAACTTGAATAGTAAGGTCGGAGGGTTCAGAGTAAATAGTAGTTAGGTGCAAGTATTCATAGTCCTTTCCTCAAGCAATAAATGTGTTATTTATAGGGATTGAGAGGGGCACATGTTGAGCATCTGACATGCGCGTCACGTGCCCCACATGTATTGGTGCGATCTGTGGCCCTTTCAATAGGGTCACGTGGGCGCAACAGATTCCTGACAAAGCCACTTATGAGGAGGTCGGGCAAGGGGATAGCCTGATAGGCGGAGAGGTCTTACCCTTCAATACAACAACGTTCGGGTGAGTAGATCCAGTTCGAGCATTGAGATCAGGACCGAGCTTAGGTTGCATTATTATTTGATAAGGGCCTATGCCCGGTCCTCAACTCTGGTCGGGTCGGGCCCTCACTAGTCGGGTCCAGTTGGGAAATGCTCATCAGAGAGCATATTGTACACCCCAATCATATATACAGATATACGCTTGGGGTTTATTTTCTATCACGCACACACTCACTACTTCATAAATTTAGCAAACATTTAATTTCATCATTCAAATGATTCAATTAAAAGAGTTTACAAAGAGAGAAAGAAAAATTATATGTTTGGCCAAAAGAGTTGAATAACAAAATTACATGTTAGTCATTTTTAATAAATGGTGAAATGACAAAATTTTAAATGGTGAAATAACTGTGGCAAACAAATAAAAGTCAATGATATAATAAATTAAAATTAAAAATACGATTAAATGTGACAATGCAACAATATATGAGGACTAAAAGTAAAATTTGCTTTTTTAAAAATTTATATCATATCAATTGATATTAGTGTCAATATAAAACATAATACAAAGTAGTATTTTATTGAAATGATCTTCAATGATAACGAGTACAATTAAAATTAAAAATCATTTTATTATTGTCTCGAAAGAAGTCACCGAGCAAGTGAAGTATTAAATTAGAAAAATATATTTTTCATTCTTAAATTCTCCCTAATATTTTGTTTTAATCAACATGTTTCGAGGCTTGATCAAATCTTTGCTTTTTTTTTTTCTTTTTTTTTTAATCAAAGAATTTGATACATAACAAAATAAACAATTATTAGCAATACATACTTCTAAGACTCATTGACTCAATCCTCAAGATTGATAATAAATTAGCAGTCATGTGTATTTAATTGGTGTGTTATTATTTGTTTAGTTAACATTAATATGATCCATTAATGTTATATAAATAGGATCTTCATCAATTGAGAGGGGTTCTCAAATTTCTACTACATGATATAACTTTGTTTAGGACCCACCTCAACTTACTTTCATTCGTCCTATTTATTACTCCGTAGTACTTAATTGCCTTAATTTTGTTCTTAGTTTTTTTTTTTTTTTTTTAAATAATTGTTCTTCTTTCTAAAAGGTTGAATCTTCAACTCCAAGGACCTCCCACACACCGGCCCGACAGAGCATACACTTGTTCTTAGTTATATACATTGTTTGTTCTTGCCTTAATAACCACATATTTTTTATGATCAGATCAGTCACTTATACTTCTTCTTCCTCACTCCCTAATACTTGTTATATTGAGTGAAAGTTTAATTACAATAGAAAACTTTATAATATAATATGTAATAGTGACCGTGATCATAAGATAATGATGGAAAAAATGATTGGTCAGATGATAACTATTATGGATAAGATAATAATCCCCTCCGTTGTAACGGTTACCATAATTATTTTTTAATAACTATTTTGATCGAGTTAATTTCGTGGGCTAGACTAGTCAATATATCTTCTGAGCCTTCGTTGTCACTAAACTTATTGAACCTTGGCCCTATACCATCCGTTACTATAGGTATATAGTAGGTATATCTATCAATTGTATTAAATATATTCATTAATTAATATATACATTATATACTTGTCTTAGGAAAAAAAAAAACCATAATCAAACAATGTAAGAAGCATGTGTTTTTTGGCCATGTATATAAGATGTTCGCAGTACTTATCAAGCCCAAACTTGTCTAATCTAATTAAATAAACAAGTCGGAAGTCGCAATCGAACACTAAGAAACGATCCATGACAGCAGTTCCACTCCTTCTTACGTGACCTAAACTTACCAAATTGTTCAACACATTTATTGTCCTTTTGCAACCATCACTCAAAATTTAAGAATATTTATAAGAGG